ATGCACTAAGTTATGTTGAAGTTTCTAGTAAAAGCGGTCGTTTGTCATTGGACAGATAATCGAACCCCGAGAGATGCATTAGACACCAAAAATAATGATAAAGAAAAAAAATGTGTGAACAATAAACAACATAAAATTTGAGTCAAGATAATTATCTGTCAATCGAAAAACATACAACACGTTTCAACTATTTGAACTCTTTAATATTATCTTTCTTTTCTCTATGTTTTCAACCCTGTCATATGGTAGAGAATGTGGGGGAAAGACTTGAAATTTAATATTCTTGTCCAACTGTGTGAAAAAGTCTCAACGCAATAGATCATTTTTAACATGCAGATCAGTTAGGTTCCTACCGCTGACGATAATTTTGAAAATACAAGTGAAACCATTGAGTTTAGAAACGCATACTTCGCGATATAATTATCCATGGTATTACGTCCTTACATAATTAAACTTTTATGATAAATACGTGCATTTCGCTATACAAGTGTTTGTATTCACCATTGATATGCAAGACTTTATGCGCGAGTTTTATAACACCATGACGTGTGTACAAAATGATCCAATCTCACTGGAGTACTTACATGCAAACGGTTTCATTGTAATAGACGGTGACATTGAGTCGCAGATAAAAAAAAATCGTTTTCCATTAAAGAGAAAAAGGGCGACAGAGCTATTCTGCTATTCACCAGTTGGGGTATCTGAGACATAACAATCATTCTATGTATTGGAAACCCTTATTTGTTTTCTTATCTTCCATTATCGATTTTTCTCTACTTGTTTTCCTTTTATATACTTTCTTTTGACGTACAACCTGACAATTAATCTCGCTGCAAGGAAATGGCATATTTATGTCAAGTTTCTAAAGTGAGCGAATAATAAAAAAAAGACTTTAAACAGGTACAGATCCGTAACCTGTTAATATACAGTGAATTCTGTTAATTGCGATTCTGAGCAATCATGTCATAATAAATAATCAAATGTAATGAGAACAAACATCCCATAATAGTACCAACCAGTCATTATTGATTTCTCATGGTAAGTACGTGTTTCTGGAGGATACAAATACCGACTTTGATGCTCTGTAAAGAATAGTTATACCTAATTGTAATCGATAAGCCTTTGTAAATGTTACATTGTCGCCGAGGTTAAGAACATACAGTCTCTGCTGACTACTTTTAAATATGAAACATGATTATATTTATTCAACTAAGCATTTAGGAATCGATACATGTAGAAGTACCCTCTACACAAAATACTAAGTTGTCGTTTTTACTATCTACCAATTGCCCTGGTCACAAAGAGTACTTCAACTTACGACTTTCAACATACCATGCAACTAAACTATATACCAAACTAACAAAAATTATCATCTAGTTGTTAAATAGTTCGTTCATGATAAGAGTTAAGCTTCTCCACTGTTCAGGTTACTTTAAGTTGCCCATTCTTACCGAACTGACTTTTTACATAAAAACTCAATGCTAAAATACATAGTGAAACGGGGCTGAAAACTTTCTTGATATTTATGTTTGGAGTCCGTTATATTTGGTAATTAAATATCTTACAGGGCCGATTCTTCTGCCCCTTTTCTTTTTGGCTGAATTACTTCAACATTTAAAAGACGGGGCACATTCTTTCATCATAAACAACACAGACACATCCAAAAGTCAAAAAACACCTCAACAGGTGGCTGATCCACAATTTTTAATTTTCCTGTTTTATTCGAGGTTGTAAATAAAGAATGGGTAGCAAATTTTTGTAAGTCGAATGCTCCACAGTTTCTACAGTTGAATATTTCCTTCATTATGCCCAGTTAGAAACTATGAAGCGGTTGAATGACATTTCTAAAGCGCTATATTTTTCATTTTCAAACTTGAAGAAACTCGACCAACCCCAATAAACCTAACTAATTATTCTTATCATTAAAAATATAGGATACAAATATGATTTCTATAAATGTTAGTGAAGATAACGCTATGGCAAAACTGTAACATCAACATCAAATTCTTTGTTCAATTCGGCGTTCGTTTTAGGGGGTTAGCAGATAAAATGAAAAGTAAAATACACGAAGTTTTGTGGGATGGCGCAGCCGACAGACTTTAGCCTAACAGGAGGAAGAATTCTCTGATAATACTTTTATATTAGTCAACAATATGCTTTAATCACATCAAACAAAAATGCCAGTTGTAAATAACTTACCATTGTATGACATTCCTCAAATAAACTTAAGTTATCTTACGGTGGTAAATTTCTACGGACTATTTTTCTACTTACTGCTTTATTATAAAAGGGCACGAAGCACCGCTATCACGTGTAAGTCATCAGGTCAATCAATAAAAGGTAAAAGGCAAACATTTTTCTTTTCTTTCACGGTAACTTGAAAATCGCAAACTGAATATGGTAGCCATTTTCAAGTTTCTGTTATGCATATACTAAGTTTTTTTATTATTATTACATTTTAATTTTAGTTTACGGGTATGCCGTAACTTCTGAAAAAAAATAAACAACTAAGTAACATGATTTAAAGATGGCCTTACAATTCCTAATATTTTATTTCAACATAAAGTACTATCATCCTGAAAAAATGTCCCGTAGCACCGATGTTGCTTGCATTCTCAAAATGAGTGTTGATGAGGTCTTGAAGTAGCTTCAGACAGTTTCCTGAAAGGATTATTTCCACTGGTACCTCCTACATTCCACCAATCTTCTCTTCATCAAGGAATACGAAAATCAGTTCAACGCAACGAGAGCAAACGTCACCATCCATCAGACTAATCAGGATCAAATAATCAGCATATGGGGGGACAAAAATGATCGGAGGACGTGATCCAGTAATCAATGGTCTAAATGGTACCATTCTTAAGGATGTTTAGGTTGATACGTTAGCTAATGTGTGTGTAACTGCTCACACAATACTTCTACCATCACCATAGTATGTATCACAATCCTACATGAAAATGGGTTGGATGTTGTTTGGACGAGTCTCCAAATGAATTTACTCCTGCCACCTGGGTGCGAAGTTCATCAGTTCACTTGTCGCTGGCCGACTGAACATGATCTTGCTATCATTGTCAACGAATTTTCATACGTCCTCATTGTGAAGTCTATATCTAACCTTTTGGACACTGAAAGGCATCAAGTTGCAGTTGCGCACATAAATGATTCAGTTACTCTACAACTGTTGAAAGCCAGAACCAACAGATAGCGATTACTTACTTGTGTTATAAATGACCATCTGTCTCGTCCAAGTGTACGAGCAACTATACTATTAGTCTGGAAGCGGTTCCACATTCTTCTAATAACACTTTGGGGTACTTGAAACCAATTAAAACAGTCCGCTGTATTGGCCATCTTCTGTTCTGTTAGATGGATCTTCACGAGTGTAGCATCCAGATCTATTTTCTGATGTCTAACTATGGTGGGCCATGAGAACTTAAACGCCTTTTTAACCATGTGAAGCACTTAAAATTGACTTTAAGCAAGATTGTAGGAGACATCGACGTACAGTCATAAACTGAATGGCCAATCATTTGCATTTCAGATTATATGATGACTGGTCATCAGATCATCAGATGTCCGATATACGTAACACTGAACCGAGGATGGGATAACGTTATTTCAAAACATTAGTGTTTGCCTTGTAGCTAAATTTATGCAAACTCCGATTATATATTTTTTTCTTTAATCTAGAAAAGCATATGTCGGGAACAACATGACTTAATAGTTAGTGCTGTAGAATCTCAATCGAAAAATTGTGGATTCGAAGCATGCTATTGCCTAGTCATTGTGTCCTTGAGCAAGATACTACCCCAAATCTGTTTCTGTCTGCCCACCTGTAAACTGGGAACTAGCTAACAGCTGGAGATTAACCTGCGATGGACTGGCATCTCGGGGTTTAAAACGCTTCACATTATCATCAGTTTGTTCAACTGGAATTGGAATTAAGCACCGATTGTGTGTGCTTTCAGGTACGGAACGTAATAATTTACGTTATTTTCCCAAAACAAACTTAAATTGAACAATATATAAATAATTTCATTTTATTTACACCTTGAAGATGTTCGAAAAACTCGTTATATATACAAAAAAATTTAACCTGTCAACTATTCATTCAACAGTTTATGAAATATAATTACAGTTTTAAATTTTTATTCTTCTCCTGGTTCAGACAATGTCGGTTTCAAAGCGTATGCAACAACGACTATCTAAGCAGAACAAAGTATATACTATTTAGTAACGAATGAATGATATAAATATTATTTGTCCCAGTGAATGAAACAAAATTATACAGACACGAGTTCTATGGACAACTAAAAATAAATGTAGGCGATGAGAGCACATTAATATTAAACTAATCACTATCAGGAGATCATATATGGGAGAAAATTTTTACCAAATCTATCAAGTTAAGAGAAAAAACGTATCGAAGAATTCACCGAATACGCAAGAATTAATACAACGTTAATATTAAAGAAGCTAATTTTAGCTATTTGACCAATTTAGATTTATAATTATGGTGACTATTTAAACTGTTTTTAATGTACTTAATGGCTTATCATTCTATGTACACACTGCATTAATTATTTTCCTGTGTTAAAGTGCCCCCCACCTCGCCCCCCAATGGTTCTTTGCGTTAAACACGGCAAAAATAACCCATTGTGTATTTTTTCTCTTAAACAAAAACTGTCTGACAGTTTGAACAACAAAAATATTAACATCCCCTCATGTGGAAAAATTATAAAAAGTTCTGAAGTGCAACAGAATCTTGTTCAGGGACAAAAGGTTTCTTTACACAAATAATACAAGTTTCCTGTTTACAACGGCAGAGTTAGTTTATCCTATTCACTCTACTGGTAAACAACAACTGGAACGCTACAATACATCATGTCAGTACCGTACTTACTCGTTCAAGCTGGTTTGCCACACTGTCTTTCGGCTTCTTTCACTCTACTGGTAAACAACTAGAACGCTACAATACATCATGTCAGTAACGTACTTACTCGTTCAAGCTGGTTTGCCACACTTTGTCGTTCAGCTTCCAATTCTCGGCTCAGCTGTTCGAAGTGAGCTTCCTACAAGATGCGAGAAGAACCAACGATTATTCTATTTATGATTTAGAAACTGGTGAGAACACAGAAGGACAATCTAGGATTCCATAATCCATACTTGGTTTAAGTATTAAAACATTCGGTTAGTGAGTGGTTTGAGTAAAACAAAAATAACTACACAGATTACTGCAAATCGACCCAAGTTAAGATCATCACGCTTCTACTTTTCTTTAACGATCTCCGTTATTCTGCTACATACACGTTTATCATAATGTGTTAATGGACAGCTGCACTGAAAATCCCAGCATATATACGTTTGTCTCAACTGAACGGCATCATTATGTTGGCATACTCATTTTAATGTTTATATTCTACTTGAAATGTTAAATAATTACTTTCTTACAGCTCTGCACACGAAAAAGCAATGTGTTTGGTGCATCATAACATATTTATTTAAATGCGCATAATCTATTTGTAATATTAAGTCTAGATTCTGTAAATCAACACTAATTCCCCTGTATATTCCCCAAATTATAGGCAGCCATTAGATACATAAAACGATGCGATACTTCTTCCTCGAGAAGGGGGGGGGGTAGGATTTCTTTAAAAAAAAGTATATCGTCCATTTTTCCAAGTCGATTGTGCTGTAACGTGAATTGTCGACCAGTGAAAATATAAGTTCTGTTTTTAGGAAAACGTGATTCATCTCGTTCTGAACACTAAGATACACGATACTGTCCCCTCGTTTTTCCTAAACAGCTAAATGTTTACAAATCCTACCACCACAGCATTCGGTCGCTAGTAGTAACATTAAGAGTAATGTTATGTACAATATTAGCATTTAATATTCAAAAAACTAGACATTTAATATCATTAATATTGAAAAAACTTTGGCATCTTTAATTCATACTTTATGTATTTCAAACGCTTTCTCTTTTTTTTTCTATTGATAACAAAGTAATTCATTTTATTTTATACTTTAACTGTGTGAATATAATTCTTTAGACGAACAATGAGAAAATGAACCAACAATAACAAGAACCATATTATATATAGTTCTAGACAAGGGTTAAAAACACTACTAAGAGTTAGTGTTCTTACACAAACTTTGTGAGAGCCTCGAGTTCACTCAAACTTAACACCACCTGGTGTTTTGTGTCATTACTAAACAAAGTTAATTCGAATACATTAATAATAAAATTAATAAATAATCACTGTTAATAATTTGTACCCTATAAATATGATTTGTGAATGACTAAAATAAAATTAATAATAATTAAAGAGGCCAACACTCGCGGGCGAATGGAACATGTCCCCGCCAGGCAATCCTAACAGGGCTAATTTTGACACCAGCAAAATCGTGAAAAACTTGGAAAAATCGAAAACTGTATATCACTGTTTGGGACCTGCAAGAAGGTATCTTTATACCAAATCCCATGTAGGTTGGTTGAGCAATTGTCAAAAAAAATTAAAAATTATGCTTTTTGTGGTATCTTAATCCCACAATAATTACTAAAAATGGGCAAGTCCACCATTTTGTTTTTCAATGTGTGGGACCTGTAGAAAAGTATCTTCGTACTAAATCCCATGTAAATTGGTCAAAATATGGCTGAGTAATTGACCAAAACCGCCAAAATTGTGAGCTCTGACCCCCTAAAAAAGACTCAAAATTGAAAAATTCAACTTTTCTTTATGTTAATTCGTTGGGCACATGAAAATTTGTATTTGTGCCAATTTTCATCTTGATTGCTGTAAATATGATCGCACAGGAACCCAAAATATACATTTCGGGGTTGTTTGATCTTTCATCCCATAAAATCCTTAAAAGATTTAAATTTTAAAAAATAAAAATGAATCTGGGCATATTGGACCGAGGTATAACTCTACCAAGTTTCAAGTCAATCTGTCGAGAAATGAAAGAATGGCGGTCGCTTGAAAATTGTTTAGAAGAAGAAGAAGAAGGGGCCTTTCGCTAGTACCAAGATGCATCAGGCCGCCTGGGAAGCAACAGATATAATAGCAGTCTAGACTATCTGTATATCATCAGTTTTCATGAACAACAACTGATATGGTGTGAACCAGATTAAGCAAGTGAATTATAATTGTCTCTGCAGAGAGACATACTGTTTTTAAATGTTTCCGTAGAGAGACATACTGTTTTTCGGCACTGCATAAAACAGATGTAGTGCGATAAACGTATTATAACATATTCTCCTTTACTTTTCACTCAGAGGCTCTTAGAATTACTAAAATGAAGTTGACGTTGGACAGTTATCCATAGAAGGTTCAAGGTAAGTCTATATTACAAGTACAATCTACCTGGAAATCCTAATTTTTGTAAATAAATAATCATTCAGTGCAAGGTGATGCAAAAAAGTCGCGGAACCACCAAGTCATTTCTGAGACCTATTCTTATTATGAACATTTAATATCGTATTTATGATTCACTGCCTGATTATTTTGTTATAATAACAGGATGGAGAAGTGTCGTGAAAGTGATTCTGTTGTGTCGTGATGTCACATTTTGAACAGTTATAACGAACAAAACTCGAAAAAAAAAATCATAGTGATACGCTACTTTTGCATTACCCCGTACAATAAACTATTAATGTTGAATATAATCACTGCTGTACAGAACTTATACAATACTGTACTAATAGAAATAGCCTTACAATTTGCCTTACACATGAGAAGGGCTTTATAAGTTTTAAAAATAGCGAATTTTCTATAGATAGAAACGGTTTTAGTGTTATAAAGGCTCGAAAGAGGGCCTGTGGTTTAACGATCTCCGAAAAAGTCTGTTCTTTCTTTTAGTCTGAATTCAAGGGTGTCCACGTCATAGTTTTAGAATCCCATCGCGCGCTTGTCGCTCAATAAATAGAATAAACTGCCCAGTATCTCTAGTGTTGGGTGTTTATTCAAGTCGCCTCTTAACAGAAAGAAAAAATACTTTGGTCTGGCTTGGGTATGGAAATACGAGACACAAGCAAGTATTAGGCCTAATTGCACGCTTTTGCGTGGTCTCATCCTTGCAAAAGCCTTTTCAGTGTCATAAGCTGTAAACAAATAATACATCACGCATATAGCGTTTTATATGGTAAAAAATATTCCTCAAATCACGTGTCAATAAAAAGTATTAGTTTACAAATGAAATGGACAGTCATGACTCGTCTACTGCACATGCGTATCCTAAATATCGGCTTACAGGTTTATATTTCTGAAGTTATAGAAAATGTACATGAACTCAATTTAGAGTAAAATGAATATTTACTTTGAAAGTTATAGGGGCAAACCAACTAATAATTGAGATAATTTGGGACATACAAATAAAATATTGTCGAAAAACGTTATTTCTTTTAATAACATTTTAGTCCCAAATGAGTCATGCATCCAAATATTGTAATGAAAAATCTAAATTAAAAAACCCACACACAAAAGCAGCATTAATCTTTAGCAAAATAATATAAATTAAAAAATCCACACACAAGAGCAGCAATAACCTTTAGCGTGCGAAATATAAACGAAAACAAATTATGATGCATACAGGGACTACATGTTATTTCTATTTCTACAGTCTATGTATGGCTATATATATGTGTGCGTGTATATATATATATATATATGTATGTGTGTGTGTGTGTGTGTGCGCGTGTGTGTGTGTGTGTGTATAT